AATGAAATAATTAAATTCAAATAAAGGATATAAAATAAAGAAATGTTCATTGTATTGAATCATCAAATAGTTAATGAAATAGAATATTTCATACCAAATATTTAACATAGAACATAAAATAAAACAAATATAAATAATAAATGATATAACAATAGTATGTGATAAGAAGATAATTCTAGTATTTACTAATAAAATTGAAAAGTATAGAACTCTCTATTTCAAAATAATACAAATTAATAAACTAAAATGAAAGTAATTCCAGTGGTAATAACAATAAATTGATTAGTTAATAAAGAATCAGTAATAATGAAAAATAACAAAGTATAATAATTCAATATGAAATAATGGTAAAAGATATAATATTTATAACATGAAAAACCTAATGAAATACTGTAGATATCATGAAGGTGAATATAGCAATATAAAATTACCTCATGGACAAGACTCAGTAGAGATGAATAATATATTTTTATCTGAGTAAATTGAAATAAATAAAACAAGAATTACTGATACTTATTTTATTATTTAATGTATCATGCATTTTACTGCTATTTCATTGATTCTTTTCTTTGAAATTGAATACATGTTTCATGTTTGATTTTCTTTACAAGACTCTTTGGCATTACTCAATATCTATGGCAACAAAATTTGTTGTATATTCTACATTGATAAAAACAAACAAAAGAAAACAAATAAATAAGAAGACAAACAAGATAAAATATATAATAAATAATAAACAAAATAAAATAAAAGATATAAAGAAAAAGAAATAGAATAAAAAAGAAAGATAAGAATAAGAATATAAAAATAAAATAAGATAAGAATAAATAAAGAATAAAAAGAGAATTATAAAACAAATATAAAGAATGATATATCAAACAATAAGAGAGAAAAGAATAATATCAAAATGAATAAATAAGAAAAGAATAATAATAATAATATAAATGATAGTCAATTATAATTTATTTCTACTTCAATTTATATTGTATTTCATTTATTGTATTTTTATTTCATTCATCACTATCTTTAAAAGCAATTTCTTGGTATTTTTTTTTTCATTCTTCTTTAATTCTTCTTTTCATTCAATTCATAAAAATATGATTTTTCAAATGATGTAATTGATGATGGTATATTAATTGATTTTAAAGGTGAGCATTTATAAAAACAATAATCACCTATTTTACTAATTGATGATGGTATATTAATTGTTGTTATTGTTGAACAATATTTAAAACATTCATCTCCAAGTGTTGTAACTTCTCGTGGTATTGTATTTCCATATGATTTTCTATCTTCTTTTGTATATTCTATATTTTTACAGATATTTCCTTTTTCTTTTTCTTTTAAATATGTTGAATAACTTACTTTATACCATATTACATATTTAAATATTTTTCCATCATTAAATATTTCATCATATTTATTATAAATATGAAATGTTTCAATATTATGAAAGAATTTTCTTGAATATTTATCTAAAGGAATTGGATTAAAATGAAATCGTTCCATATTTGGTTGAAATCTTTTAATTCCAAATTCTAAATTAATAAAATCATTAATATCATTAAAATACATTGATGTTATCATTATTTCATTATATCCTAATTTCATTCTTGATTTATCTGTA